ATATCGCATACGAGAGAAACTAAAGCCCTATTTTTTTTCACTTAATTGTTTATAACTTTTGTAATTTTTATCGGCGCGTTTTCGGACCTTTCCTTAAACTTTCTAGGCAAAAATACGAATCGAATGACACCTTGGTCGTAATTTTTGGACAGGGCTGAAAAATGTTACAAAAAAAGTACATGTGAACTAGACTATCTCTCACGCATACGTCAGCGGAAGGCACGCTCCTCCTCTCTCGTCGCTCAGTGTTAGCATATACTGTTGACAGTATTATAAAAATCTAACCAGCAAGCACGTAATATTCTTTCATTATGTGAAACGTAACAATAGTAACAATTGGCTTATGTTAGCTATAAAATATGTACATACACAAAATAATCAATAAAAGATTCTATTAATAAATAATCTTCCCTTACATTATCATATCAATATACATACAATTTAAGTAATAACCTAAGCTTTTCTCAAGTTATTCAATTTCAATATTGAATAGTTCAACTTAAAATAGTTTAAGTTATCACTTCTGTCGGGCGTCTCGAGACGCACACGTTTTTTTTAGAAATTCTTGTGAAGATCAAGTTACATGTTGAATTTTTGTTACTACACAGGTAAATCATGTCTGAGAGAATTTAGTAATTTGTCCTTCTTATTTGAATAATTTTAAAAAGTATTTTAATTTCGATGGAGTGAAAACTGTATCAATCCGGGCGCACGCATATGGCGCAGGCTGTGACTGCCGTTTAAATCTAAGTACTTATTTAAGCAGCTGCAGCGAAACGCTTTTGTGTAAAATGTGATGAGGTCCTGTTTTTTTAATAGATTGGTTGTAGTTGTATAGTTTCATGATTTGTGTTTAACCTTGATTCAGTTTTATCTGTGTGTTGTTAAATTTATAAATCTAACAAGGACTTTCAATTTCAAAGGCATTGGAACACAAACAGTTTTACAAATATTGCATTGTGCCTTTGTGCACAAATACTTCCATTAAATCACCCAATAAAATATTTATAAGAGTACCTGAAGATGATCGTAATCGTCGAACAAAATGGTTAAATGTATGCAGAAGGAATAAAAATGATATTTCACATAATAGCAAAGCTTTTCATGTATGTGAAGATAGTAAATAGTAGTAAATAATACTGTGTAAAATTAACTAAATACAGTAAAAACCTCAGCTTTGGACAAAAATATCACAATGAACAACAGAAACTTCGATCCAGCAAACGCAAACAGTTCAACATAAATGGAATGGCGACATACAGTATGACGTCACATCCAATGGCTGGGCGTTTTTGATCACGTGACGAAATTTAAATTTTTAGTAAACTTTAGTTGTTTCTATAGAACGAATAGCATTCAAAAAATAGATTTTTGGAAATAAAGGCTATATTACAATGATATCTTTTGATTCTCAATGTAATTTTCGTGATTAAATTTTTATGCAAGTTCCCTATTGTTACCTTCGTGTTTTATCACCGATTGTTAATGTGTATATATATATTGTGTTGAAGTGAATAATTCCCCTTCTGAACTTTTGAAAGGGACAAGATATCAAAGTCGGACAACATTTATATGAAAAGGGAATCATTTTTCTTACTTGTTGATAAAAAAGCGAATGGTATGACATCAAGTTACCGCAGAGAGAGCGCTATAAACTTTTATTTTTCGCTCGAAAGGTATTCATTTCTCTTTATATAACGACCTTTACTGTTTTGAATTTCTATAACTTGTCGCGTAGTTATTGGTGTATGACTTGGGAAAAATGAAAATTCGTGATTTTGCAACCAAAAATTAGTTACCACAGTTTACACAAAGTTTGTAATGTGTAAGAGAAAGAAACTTTTCTCGGAAATGATTAGTATTAATAAATAGATGTTTATTTGATAATATTAATTTATTCAACTAGTTACTTCAATCCCAGTTATAGGATCTTGACTTTTTGAAAAGAAAGAATCTTCAGTTGAAGATTAGTTTTTTTTTATTACACGCATTATATTAGCTTCACCTGTATGTATGTTTGTAACTATCCTTTTCATTTCATATCGGGATCTGTATTTGACAGAATTATCGACATTATTGCTTGATCTATTCGCGGGCAGATGTATCTCTGCACGATCTACAAATTTTGCCAAGTTTGTTTTTTAAAAGGTTTTTCCTCCATGTCAAAACTATTTTCCGGGTTCGTTGGTCATGTTCTGGAGATTTTATGCTGATGTTTCGTCTACGACTGCGGTGAGAGGACAGCTGGAGCATTTCGTCCGTCGCCTCATCGCTTTTCATGGAGTCTATCACAGTCTTAGACGAAACGTCAGCATCTGTGCTTTTTTTCCTTCTGTATGGTTATATCGGTCGTTGCCGCTAATCCACTATGAGGTCGGTATAATATCGTTATTAATATCGGTATCGGTTGTTTTCTATATTTCATACATTTTTGTTATGGGGACATTCAGAAAAATTGGGGGGAAGGGCTAAGATAAGTTTTGCGCTCCGGAGCGCCAGGAACTCTAAGGCCGGCCCTGGCTGTGCATGTTCTGGATATATATCACATCAGTTGTCACAACATGCAGGTCGTGATCAAATCAATTTAATTAATCGATTACATATGTCCTGAAAAGGTACGTAATCATTTAGATTTATCAAATCTAAATTAAGCCGCGGGCGACCGATAAATGAAACCATAAAATCATGTATCGTTGTCTTTTACATCGACATAAAGTTCTCGAAGTGTTCAATTATTTATTTTATTCTCGCATTAAAACGCAGTTTGGATTTTTAGAAGATTTTTGCCCTTTTTACATGTTTAATGACTGAAAATTATCTGTCTTAAATGATTGCTTGAGCAACTGTTGTTGGAAACAGAAAAAAGAGTAATGACTGATGGCATACGGTTTGATCATAAACTAACGCATATTATTAATTATCATTTCCTGGCAAATGTTTAAATAGGTCGACAGCATTTTTTTATGATAAATGTTTTATGATTGCGTTTTTTTTCAAAAAAAATGAGATATGGATACATACCTACGTTTCAAGAAAATGAACAATTCGAAAAAAATTCTAAATAGTCATCTCTCCCCACATTCCAACACAGTAATATCTGGCAAATGCCCGCCGCAAAACAACTACTTCTCCGACTAATACCACGATGAACATTGAACCATATCCTACAGACATTTGTGCAAGTTTTCTCACAAGAGACATTCTTGCAGATATTTCTCGTTCCTTCAGCAATGGGACATCGCTGAAATGAATCCAGTGATCACCTGCAAACATTTGTCCATCGAAGTGTTAGCCGGAGAAGTAGTTGTTTTTCGGTAGGAGAAATCTGAGATGTGGATATTTTGCAATGTTTATTATAAAAAATAATTTTTCAATGAATAGAAAATCCTATGTTTTTTTGAAGGTGGTTGAAAATGTTTCGTGGTGTATTTCATAAGTTCGGACTTCCATTGTCTAATGTAATATAAATTGATTTGAAATTCCTGAAAAAATATTAACAAAGGTTAACCGAAAATAATTTTTTTTGAACAAAAAAACTGAAANCATATAATTATTTGTTTAACTGCCGCAATACATTTTCAATTATTGGAATACACTTGCAAGACCAGTTTCGGGCTGTTTGGTCAATAATTGAAAATCGAATTCCTTCAGAGTATCATTCCTCGAACTAGGCTGAAGCGGACGACAAACGCCAAGTTTGTCAAGTCTGCACTCACCTATCACCTGTCGGAAATAATCCAATGCCCTTCGTGGTATTAGCCAGGGAAGTACTTGTTTTCTGATAGGTGTCAGTCCAATAACCCAAAGTGTAGGGACTTGAGACTGGCGTGAACGAATTGTTCCTTCAGATATTTAGATAATTTGATTTATAGCCAGTCTTCAAGTATGCCCACTGACTGTATGTGAGAACTTGTAGACAGTTTTGTAAACTGTGAAGTGAAAATGTCACATCAAGTATCGGTAAGTTCTATGATATTTTTCAAAGAATAATATCCCACTTCTGATTATTTCTTTTCTCAACGATCAATATGTTTTACTAATTATGTATTATACCAACCCTCCTGTCCATTGAAGATAGGGGTGTCGCTTCCGGAAGGGTGCTTTGGACGAACGCAAACAAAGCGTTCAAGTCACTGTTGACTTTTTTTATTTCGTTCGTCAACGTTTGCGTGCTCACTGTAGTTTTGTCGAATAAGGATATGATGTTCTGGTTCGCCTGGTATACGTTCCTGTATGTTCGGCTGTCGTGGTTCTTGAGTGCCTTCTCCAAGTTTTTGAAGTCCTTGGCTTCTGATCCCAATCTGAATAATGAAAATAAATGTTATTTCGTGGTTAATAATCCATCATATTTCAGACATATCAACGTCAAGTGATAAAAATATGAAACATGATTAAGATATTGCACAGTATCGCTCATGTACAAAAACGTACAATGAGAGAAACGAAAAGTATAGGAAACATACACAACGTTCTACAACATACAGGATGGACAATCAAAAACGTATCACAAGGCAAAACTGCCATGGAAAAAACTTTTCGCAAAATTTTAGAACACGTCAAGATTTTAAAAATTGAAAACCATAACATTTCTTAACGGAAATGAGGGTCGACTTAAACCTCATCCAAGGGATGAGCTCTGCTCCTAAGCATTAAGCTGCATCACTTGCAACCGTGATAGTCTGGAACATCGAAGAAAAGTTGAAGATTTGTCTCCCTTTTATAGGTAGTTTCATAAGAGATGTTCAAGTGACTTGACACGTTTGATTCCACCAAGAGCGGTACATATCAGAAATATGTGACTTACTGTGGCTGCTCATCGTTTTGAGCAGCGGTGGCTCGTCAGAGGAGGCAAGGGAGGCTAAGTCTCCCCATAAAATTTGAGGCTTTTCATCGCAATAAATTAATAGATATTGACAAATAATTGTGATTATTTTTTTCTAAAAATGCTTGGGTATCATTACTTTACCATTAATTTTCAATATAAATACATAAAATGTCCGAAAAAACACAATCACTCACTACGTAGTACGTACCACACTGTATCCTGCATGAACGAATAACGAATAAACTATCAAACTGAAATAATAAATGCCATACATTGCAAGGGAGCCAAGCCTCCGACCGCTTTAAAAAACACAGGGTCCACGAGACCGATCCAACAAGCGACATACGTCCCGATTTGTAATTTCAGTTGCAGAAATTATAGCGTCAGAGGCGGTTTGCCTCCAGTTGGTCTCCGTTAGTGTACGAATGCGTTTGTTTTTTATTTAATTATTCGGACGGGATACCGTGACGGACCGGGACTAAAAAATATTCCGGTAAATCGTTTTAGTGTTTCTTGATAATATTTGTGTATAAAACAGGCAGTATTTATTATAGCAGTTAACTCTGGGAAGGCCTCAACCAAATTTGATTTCAATTAAATCGTCAGATAATCGACAAAATCGTGGATTTAATATTAGTTCGTACGATAAATGCGATTGGCTCCATTAAACGGCCCTGTGTTTTATTTTCCGTAAAAATCGAATACCAAACGTGGTCTAAAATAGGATACTCCGATTTAAAAAATTTACCTCGTGTTATGGGGGGCAAATATGATTCACAATTTGGCAATTTTTTTTGGCACCTCAAAAACCATCCAAAATGAGCTTATTATAGACAATGTGGCATACATTATTAAGGAAAATATAAGCAAGGAGATTGAAAGTGTTTATTTTTTTGCATGGGAAATTGATGAAACTACCGATATTACCTGTACATCACAACTTTCAATCGTTTTTAGATATGTGGTAGAACGTTTTATGGGTTTTCATGATGTTTCATCTGGGCGCACAGCTGACGATTTGTTTAATTTTTTAATTCGTACGTGTGACACCTATAATTTTAGGCAAAAGTTAATTGCGCAAACCTATGATGGGGTTGCGGTCATGGCCGGCCATTTAAATGGTTTACAAACTAAAATAAAGTTCATAGCTCCTCATGCACTCTTTACACATTGTCATGCCCATGCCCTAACTTTAGTATTAATTAAAGTGTGCAACAACAAAAAATTTTCGCGCCTCCGGCAGGCTTTTCTGTGTGTATATAGTCTATAAGACTTGAGCCTTCCCTGTTCTCCAATGCACGAGCCGTCACTGATTTTGAGGTTCAACTCGGAACATCTGATTTGACTGTTTAAGAACTGTTTCATTTGGAGAACTGCGTTTATGTGAAATAAACTTCCTGAGAAGGTTTTTCCAAATGAATTCAATCTCCAGCGATTTAAATCCAACGTGAATCGCTACTTTTACACAGGCACCGCTCTTAGAGCGCCTTAATGATTATCCTGTAGTGTTTGTGTTCTGTCCATTACTAAATTACTTCTTTCTTATGATTTTGTATACCATTCAGAAACAACTTACAACCTTCAATGTCTGTATGGATATTTTTATTACGTTGCTCAATTTGTCACACTTGAATTAGATTAGATCAGCTGTTGAAGATAATATTGTTTGAAAGACTTAATATTTCTAACTGTTTTTTGGGTATATAACCTCACACAATCGGAAAAATAAATTAAGCTAAATCAATAGAGAATTTGTTGAAGTATAATCAAGGGAAAGTTCACCCCGAAAAGTTACTGCGTAATATAAACCACTGGAGAGTCCATTTAGTCAGTAACTTGTATTCATAAACTTTGCCTACAAATTGAAAAAAATATTAACCTCAACTGAATTCTCAAAAAAAAAACATTCATTACATGTATTCATGTCGACTATCGCATATAATATCTGGACATTTCACTCTTTTGACGTATGTCAAAAGAATTCATTTATTTTGTTCTTAGTGTCATCGGCATCGACTACATTGGTCATTAGCCTCGTGTCCTGAGTAGGCAATGTTAATAACTCCTCGAGCCATCTAGGGAGCATCATGACTATTCGCAGGCTCGAGAAAAATATCTGGTCGAGGTTGGGATCGAACTCATCACCTTCCATTGGAAAGAATTGAAGCTATGTGTACAATGTGCTTGTTTCATTATTTTTGGTTTGGTAGTAATTTCAAATTGAAAAATAGTGTACTTTGTTTCAGCTCTCTATATAGCGTTGTTTTCCCGTAATTAATTATTAAAAATTGGATTTTCTAGGCTCGTGACGTCACGGGCCTAGTCCCGCTTCTTGTTCGATTGATCAATAGGAACAATACAAATAATGAACATTGTCAAATTGTAAAATTCACGGAGCGTATAAACAGTTTCTGATTCATTCGTGATTCAAAATAAAATCACACTCACATGAGAAATGCATTGGAAGGAAAAATTAATTATACATGGAATCCAAATAACACAAAACGCAATAAAAACGTTATTTTTGAAATATCTCCGGCAGTAGACATTTTCATGTTGATATCACATAAATTTTATAAATGAATGTGTATATGAATCCGTTAACTTTTAAAATCATTAAAAAATTCTCCATATGAAAAAAATGTACTCGAAAACCATGGTTCGAAGGCTCATGAACCATAATAAAATAAATCAATTATGCATTCATGCACCCACCAAAAATAAGAAATTCAACGTTATATATTAGCCATATTGCCACCCAGTCCAGCTATCTCTCTTGAATGTATGAGACAATGTAGACAATGTACTCTTTCTAATGTTTCATAACTTCGTATTTTTGTTAAAATAATTGGAAATAAGCCCATTTGAGGCGCGTTTTGAAGTGAATTTTAGGTTTTGATAACGGAAAAGGATTGTTTTCCGAAACATTGACCACCAAAGAAAGCTAAGTATTGAAATTTTATTTTTTTCGATTTGTACGCAAAATTCATGAATACGACAAGTTACTGACTAATTGGACTCTTCCGTGGTTTATATTACGCAGTAACTTCAGCAAACTCTGTCGACTTAACTTTGTTTATTTTTTACTGTAGCAGGTTACATACCCAAAAAAAATCAGTATGCATTAGAGATAATATTCTGAGAATTTTTACTTTGTATCAAAAAATACATATTTATGATTTTGGATAAGAGGATATTGTTGGCGTTTGAAAGCAACATATCTTCTAGATTTTAAGTAACAAAGCAGCACTGGATGGAAAATCGAAAGCCCTTTTCAATGTGTTATCACTCGACCTCAATTACCATTTGAAAAAATTGATGGATGACACGTCGTCTTGACGAGTTGCAAATTTGGCACTTATTTTAGCCCCCCCCCCCGACAGAAATAAAATTGATTCACTGAGACAATAAAAGACCCAGAAAGGAACAACTATTTCTCAATTGTAACCATTTGGAAGAAGTTATCATTTTTTATTGTATTCTTCATCTTACCTTTTCTCCAGCATATCGATGAGTTTGTTGAGGATGTCACTAATTTGGGTCTCTATCTGAGATTCGTCCTTTTGCAGTCTGTAACAGCTTTGTAGAAATACGTCTTGGTTTGTGAGTATTTTTTCAAAATTGTCGTTTAATTTCTTCTCAAATTCTTCATATCGATTACTTGAATCTGAAAAGCATTATGTTGTTATTTACCGCACCACTTGTTGTTTCAAAGATTTGTTCCTTTTTTATGAGTCTACTTTAAACTGTGATATCTCAGTAAATACGTATTCAATTTGATCGAAATAAGTGCCATTTTAATAAATGCTCTCTTGCCAACGTCGATTAATTCCGTCACCATAACAATTGAGTGATCGGGATTCGATGAAGTCGATGAAGGCCGTTTTTGCCTGGTCCTGATTGCCAAAAGTTCTACCGGTGTGAAATTTATCGAAGTGCTTGAAAATACGGCAATAGGTTGGCGAGAGGTCTGTGCAGTATGGTGGGTGAGCGCTCATTCCCTTCAATTTTCGAACGGTGATTTGTGAATCGTGCGGACGATCGTTGTCGTGGAGCAGGATTGGACCTCTTCTGTTAACCAGTGCCGCTGGTGACGCAATTTCCGGTATATTTCGTGGCTTTCCTCACAATAGGACTCTGCTGTGATGGTTTCGCCCGGTGGCATAAATTTATAGTGAATCACCGCTGACCGCACCGCCTGCCGCTGACCACCGTACCCATCACCGTACCCATCAACAAAATTTCATGGGTTTTCGCCTGTGGGAAGTGCCAGGGTGGCTCATCGGTGTCCAACCAATGGTTCTGATCGTCTCCTGTTGTCGTATAGGATCCACTTTTCGTAATACGTGGCAAGAGGCAAAAAATTAAAATGTGGCAAAAAATTAACAGCATCACTTCATAGATCATGTACCACGATACAGTAGAATAAACATTTATTGATATATCGAGCTACAATAACACATGACATTAAAACCAAAAAAACTTTTGAAACAACCCAATAGTTTTTTAAACTACACTTCATTAGCAAAATAGTGTTTCGCTCTTGAAAGCCGTAAATAGTTGAAACAATAAAAAGGGCCAAGCGGGCATGATGACTTTCCTTATGAAGACACCATTTATAGGATCAACAGAAAATTCAAGACCAGTCGTAAAAGGGCCGAATGAGAAATCGCTTTCTATATTTTTACTGCCTTCACTACAAAGCCCCAACTAGCTTTTACAGAAGCCCAAAAGCTCTCTTGAGCAGAAAAAATTCTTATGGCAAAAGGATTACTGTGTTATGCATTTAAAAAAATCAAATATTCTGTTTGTAGTCCTCATAGTCGTATAGTCGAAGTAAACGATACTGTGCACACTTGAAGTTGGTGGTACTCTCAAAGGCCAAAAAACCAATGCATAGAAATGAACCGGCTGCGAACTAGTCCACGTGGACTGTAGAATTGGTGGTTCGTATTGGATAATTTTTACTAACCGAGTTTTATGATTGGCTGAATTGTCCTAAAATTGAATTTGAAGTCATGTTACGGTGACGAATAGAAATCGGGGAATGCGGGGATGGTTATCGCCGTCGTGCCATCAATGTTCACTTCAGTAACTGATCGCGATTTGAGTGCAGTTATGATTACTTAAAATTTTTGGTTTCTGCTTGAAATGTGGCATCCTTGTTCACGTACTAATAGTAATAACGAATGTGATAAGGCAAACTTTTTTCGGTGTAGTGATTCCCATAGCGATGGTGAACAATGCGAAAAAGAGATATCAGTGAATAAGATTCGAATGCATTTGAGTATTGGAACATAGAGAGTATGTTTCAACGTATATAAGAATCTACATCTCAAGTTTGGTTTCGAGGCAAACAAACTATTACAAGCAACATCTGATTTGACCGAAATTTCTTTCTCAACTGTACGTAAAATAGTCAGAAACAAACCTTATGAACGTAAGACGCGATGTGATACAGGATTACCAAAACCTTCAGATGTTCGTCTAATAAAATCATTGAAAAAAACAATATACTACTGTTACAAAACATTGAGATTTCTTCAACTGAAATCATAAAGAAGCAATTGTATACTTCCGGCCATAACATGAGCTGCTATGACAAAACTCTTCAGAATTGGATAAAGAAACTAGGATTTAGATTTAAAATAATAAACAAACGTCAAGCAGTTATGGAAAGCAGAAGAATAGTTGAATTGCGTAACAAATAACTAAATGTACACAAGAACAACCGTAAATATTCTATTTGGCCGAAACTTGGTATGGCACTCACGACACAGTTACGAAAAGGTGGACTGATGGTTCGAGAATGTGTACGCCTAACATGCCTGCAAACAACGGATCGCGACTAATTATTGTGCATTGCAGAGAAAGTAAAGGATGGGTTGCGAATTCTTTGAAATTATGTGGAAAAAACTTGAGGACTGCAATGTTGACCATCATAACAACATGGAGGCTAATATTTTCGAGGAATGGTTTGAAAACACATCGATCCCAAATTTGGATGCAATGACATTTGACATGTTTTTGATTACGATCGTCAAATTTAATAGTTCTTGACAACGCTTCTTATCATTTCTGACAGCTCATCAAAGTATCCAATAAAAATTCGAGGAAAGATGAAATACAAAGTTTTTTAATGGATAACAATTTCTATTTTGAAGATTACTATGCCAAAAACCAACTACTTGAAGTTTCACAGACAAAAACATTTGAAAAAGTGAATGCCCTTGAGAGTATTGCTGAAAAGTATGGACACACCATACTGAGACTTGTTTTTTCATTCTCATCAAGTGGATTTGGGGAAAATTGAAACAAAGCATCAGGCGTAAAAATAACTTTCCAAAATTTGATAAGAAGGTGATAGAGCTAGTTAAAGAAGAAGTATCTAATATTACCGAAGAAGACTGGCAGAAATGGATTAAAAAAGTAATTTTAGTTGAAAAAGACTATATGGAGATTGTACACTTCCATATTAATGGTGGAAATGAATTCATTATTGATTTAAATGACGACAGTGATAGTGAAACAGATAATATGGAAGAGGAAGTGTCATCATCATCAAACTATTTATGATCAAGTTTTACTCAAATAGCCAACAACTGATGTGAAGAATGAGAGTATGAGAGATTAGGATCTTTGTGACAACTTTAAACGTCGTCTTGTAGATAAAATAATTCAGTTGCCAAAGTATTTTGAAAAACTGTAGTGTGTAGTAAATATGCTGACTTAAATGTTTTAGTCATCTCCTGATTATGATTTAGTTGATTAGCGAAACGCACGTCGAGAGAGTGTCTTTTTGTTCTAGTGTGGGAAAAGTGTTTTTAATAGATTGATAGATGATGCAAGAAACGAATAGTGCATCAGTGATGCAGTATTTACAAAATCAATTTATTTACAAATGTAAAAATCGAAATGTCAACTTGATATTTAATACTGGATCTGTCTATCAAGAGTGCCGTAGGTCGAGTGTTTGTGCGAAAATAGTTTATATAGGAATGGTGTACAACTGATTGCCCCGGGGATTCTAAGCATCTCACTCTTTTTCATTATTTCTATCAGATGATTAGGATGGTTGATAAAGTTCCTAGTAGTTTTCAATATAATGTTTTTCTTGTTTGTTCTACTAACACCCGAAAAATACTACGATACTGTCAACTTACCCAGCGGTATATCAATTTCTTTATTTGACAACTTTCCAATCTGTAACATCAGTGCTCTTACGCCATTTTGCATTTCGTCCTTAGTGCTATTGACAACAAATGCAATCGCTTTCAAGTCATCTTCGGTAGTATCACTGTTTTTCCACATGTCTGAATTCATATCTGCTACCTTAAAACGGAATTTTATTTCAAGAAAATATTTACCCAACGATTATGAATAATAATGTTATCTGTATAGCTTCTAGCTCGGTCACATATAATTCCAGTCCAAATATTGATATGTTACGAGTTTAATAATAACCTATGCTATTCTGAACGAACTACTATATTTTACCTTGTTCGCATAGTTATTGAAGTCTTCTTTCAGTTCTGCTTTCATTTTCTTCAACATGACATTGCTGTCATCGGATATTTTGAAATGCTCACTAGTTTTGTTGTCGATGTACTGAAGGTTTGAGATTATGTTGTCGTGAAGCTTGTTCATAGATTTTCTGGCATCTAGACTGGTTCTGCTCAGCAAATTGAAGTTGTCTTTTGAAACCTGAGAAAGATAGTTGATAGTTACAAAAACAGAAACAACAAAAACAAAAACCAATCCCGAGACTGGACAGTCTGGGGTTGGTGGCTGGGGGTGAACAGAAATGTCCACCATAATATACCGCTTGGAATGAGGCTGAACATAGCAGATCACCTCGTGATGTAATACAAAGGCCAAGGCGTAAGCGCATTTGCGGCGCCGAGGCCAAAAGGAGAAAGAGAGCGAAAGAGACAGGAGTGGCAGCAACTATAAGTGCAACCCCCTTCTCCCCCACTCCACCTCCAACAGCAAGGGCACTTCCTGCAGTGGGCGCCAAGACCTCTGCCATGAATAAAGGCAAGGAACAGGCTGCCCCTGCAGGAAAGCTCCCTCACTTGTGCACCTCCACGGAGGGCACCCCAAGAAGTTGAGCTTTTTCTCCATGTTGGTGTAGGTTGTTTTTAAATCGTCAATGGCGAAGATAGCATCGGAAAGTTCGGCTTCAAAATCAGAATTTCTTTTCGATAAATTTTCTTCGATTTTCTCCAAACGTTTCATCGTTATATCTGCTTTATCCTAGATTTTCAATGTATGTTTTACGTTATTTTAGGTATTAATTACAGTTTTATGGGCATTAAACTTACCTGAATTTGTCCAAAATTAATTTCATGCTTCCGCTCCACATAATTAAGCCTGTGCAAGATACTGTCGTAAATGGAATCTAGTTTTCTGTAAATATTTGTACCTTCTATGTCGTCTTTGAAGGTTTTTGTGCTGATGTTCTCAGATATTTTTCCTAAGTTGAGCATGACCATCGCTTCCAATCTCATTATTTTGCTGTCTAGATTTTCCAGCTTTCTGTTGTACTGGTCGAGCTTGACTTCCAAACTTTGCGAAAGTTGCATGGAGTACACGTTATCCAGATTGCGAAGTCTTTCTTCTATCGATGCCAGAATGGTGTAGGTGTTCTGAAAAATAATGGATGACTAGTATATACCGTTTAGAAAAGAAAAAAATCACCAAAAAAAGCACTTCAAGAGAAAGAAAGAAATCCTCAAAATGAGGGGTCTTCCAACAGATACTTCCGAACTTTGGCCATCTTGTTGCAGCTACATCTGTCAAATTAGTTGTAATTCATTCAGTCTGTTTTGCTAAAAAGGTAAATGTTTCCGAACCGGATATAATAATGCCAGGACTGTCAATTTCGCTTTCTGCTTTGATAAGTTTGTTGGGAATTAAAATGGACACCAATGTGCTTTGCCACAATCATGTAGCTGGAGTTACAAAGGCTGCTTCTCAAAAGCGTGGAACACTGTTCCGAACCAGAAAACTGTACACACCTCAGCTTTATAAAGCTCAGATCAGACCTTCTTTGGATTATTGTTCTCATGTATGGAGCTCCGCCCCTAAGCATACCCTGAAGCTGCTTGATTCCATCCAGAAAAGAGTCATCCGCCTGATTGGAGACACAAATATCGCTTGATAGTCTGGAACATCGAAGAAAGGTTGGAGATTTGTCTTTCTTTTAAAGATACTTCACGGGAAGTGGTCAAGTGACTTGACACATTTTATTCCACCAAGAGCGATACATATCAGAAATACACGACGTACTGTGGCTGCTCATCGTTTTGAGGTTCAACTCAGTATATGCGATTATGTGAAATGAACGTTGTGAGAACGTTTTCCCAAATGAATTAAATCTCCAGCGGTTCAAATGCAACGTGAATCGCTACTTTCGCACAGGCACCGCTCTTAGAGCGTCTTAAGGAATTTCCTGTAGTGCTTGTGTTTTGTCCTTAAAAAAAAACTAAATTCTCGAGCAAGAATTTCTGGTAACCATATAGGACCATTCTTTTTGTTCAAAATGGTGTATATAGTATAATTCATTTTGCTGATTGATGAAGTTATGACAAGTATTAACAGATAAAGCATATCGTAATGTCAAAAATATTACACAATTGAAAGACCTTTCAAATGAGGTGTCACTCGACTAATATTTACATTCGAGGTTTTTTATGTGAGGGTTGTTGTGGGAAGGAGGTGGTCGTCAAGGTGTTGATTTTTTCGTGGAAATGTGCCCGTCAATATTAAATGACTTAAATTCAGGAGATGAATTAAACAGTTTTAGTTCACTCCTGATTATGCTAATTTGGTTAGCGAAACGCGCATCGAGAGACAGTGTTGCAGTTCTGGTGCGGGAAAAATGATTTCATTAGATTTATACTTTTTTTTATGAAAAATGTATCAAAATATCATATAAAACAATCTCTGCGTGTGTGATATTTTTCGCAAATATATTTAACTCACAGAACGAGCGATTTTTATGAGGTGTAAAAATAGATGTTAATTTGCGCGGCGTGCATCGACGATAAGTTCAAAAAATTGCATTTTGTTTGGAGGAATTTGATCCTCTTGACAGTTTTATAGGAGCGAACCCGAAAAAATTTAATTTGTCTGAAAATAAAATTCAGTAAAATCCGAATCGTTTTTATGAGTTCCAAATTTCATGGAATTAATTTATTTCTTGATTATAGGAGGATTACAAATTTAAAATTTTATTTCAAGTCTGGAATGATGCAAAAATAAAAAATTAAAAAATAAGATGACCTCAGGTCCAGACAAAATTCCATCATTTCTATTGAAAGACTGTCTGAGAGTACTAGTTTATCCCCTACAA